TTATCTCAATTTCTCCTCATTATTAGAGTTATTTAACAAAGTGGCTTATCACATGAGGAAAATGAGGACACACTTGGGAATATGACATTGTCACATTCTTTTAAGGTATTTTTAAAATTGTTAATTATATATGTTTATAGGGTACAATGTGATAATTTGATGCAGATATTCAATGTGTGATAATTAAATCAGGTTAGTTGGCATTTCCGTCTTCTTATACATTTAAAAAAATTTTAGGGGCTGGTGCTGTGGTGCAGTAGGTTAAGTCATGGCCTGTAGCACTGGCATTCCATATGGGCATTGGTTCGAGTCCTGGCTGCTGCACTTCTAATCCAGCTCCCTGTTAATGCGCCTGGGAAAGCAGCAGAAGTTGGCTCAAGTCTTTGTGCCCCTGCACCCACGCAGGAGACTGGATGAAACTCTGGCTCCTAGCTTTGGCGTGGCCCAGCCCAGCCATTGTAACTATCTGGAGAGTGAACCAGCAGATGGAAGATTTCTTTATCTCTCTCTCTTTCTGCTTCTGCTTCTCTCTGTGTGTAACTTTGAGTTTCAAATAAAAAAAATTAAAAACCAGTTTTAACACTTAACAATTGTACATATTTATGAGGTCATTATGATAGTTCAATAAATGTATACAAGCATACCAATCAAACCAGGGTAATTATTTGGTACTTGTGATCTAATCCCCATCTATTTCCTCTCCTGCACTCACATGCTCTAAAAGGGTTAAGTTCATATCTAAAAAATGTAAAAGCATGAACAAGGAACTGGATAGGAAAACCTGGCTTGACATTAATCCCAGGGTCCAGGATTAAGCCAAAATACAGCTTTGAAGCAAAGTCATGACTTTGATTGCTTTTCTTTAAGAATATTAAATGATTCATAAACCCAGGGTGACTTTATTGCCACTCAAGCAAAGTCTCATGTGCCGTTTGTAGAAAACTGTAAGTGTTTTTAAGACCTGAGTGGCCAGAGTTTTCATTTATTTCCATATTCAGGATTTGTATTCGATATCTCTGATATCATTTACATTTTGCTACAAGAAGAAAGTGCATTAAAATAATGTTACTGAAATAATTATTACCAATGAAGTGGTTAACAATGTTGGCATTTCAATGGCTATGATTACATCTCTAGGTTAGCACTGCATTAAGTTGAATAAAGAGAGCTTTTGCTTCTATGTTAGTATTACACATCTAGGTCTGGGATCTACAAAAGGGAAGATAAACTGGCCTTTCATTAAAAAAATAAATTTATCCTGAATTATAGAGATAATACTTCTGGTAAGGAAAGGAAACTATATTCTGGAGAAATCGGCATAAATTCATAGGCCCTTAAGCCTTCTGGAGCCAACCAATTTCAGTTGCTTCAGGCTTGAATAATTTTATTGAACTGCAATACATTTGAATTCAGTCTACATTCCTAACTTTTGGAGGAAAATCTATTCTTCTTTTAACACTGGAAAGCAAAGGAGGAAAATGAAATCTTTTCCACCGTATCTAAGAGTATTAGGATGGTGTGAAGGTTCCTGTCTTGTCTGTGTTCCCCCTGAAAGGCACAAAGACGAGAGAGGATTGCTGGGGAGTCACTGTTCTATTTCATCTGGAGACCTGAGCACTCTCACTGCTCTATTCCCTTAGGGGGTCTTGTTCCTCTGCTTAAAAGAATATTGCCTGCGCTCTGAGCTAATGATTTGTTTGGAGGATGAAGTCTCAGAGGTGAAGATAACTGAGCAGCTTTTATAATGTGTCATTCAGATCTTTGATCTGCTTTTTTCCGAATACTTGGGCCCTCTCCATCACAAGATTAAAGATGCCTCTGCGTAGAAGAAAGGCAAAAGTTGAAATCTTAAAAGCTGCTCAGATTTCCAAATAATATTTCTGTATTTTTTTCATTTTGTCAACATCATGTTTGGCAAGTGTCGTCCTTCATTCATGTGATAATTGGATGGTAATCAAAATACAGCATTGGCTCATAGGTTTTCTAAGGGAAACTGAATATTTTTAGAAAGTGGTTAGTGAAAACCAGCTTGTGATGAGGGCACCCGCACTTATTTTGAATTCTGCTTAATTCAACAAATATTGACTCGGAACTTCACAGATGTCAAACATAGTGTCTTCTTTTGTGGGGAATACCAAGAATCAGAACTTGTTTTAAAAAGACTTAACACCCTTGATCAGGCAGCTAAGACAATGATAGAAATGGCCATGGGGGGATACAGAATATGACACATGAAAATCACTTGGGGAGAAATGAATGCAATTCAACGTGGGAGCAGAGAGAAGAGCCCACATTGAAGTAGGATGGGATGGGAGAGGTTTGGCATCTGAGAAGAACTTGGCAAGATGGACAAGACCTGCCTGCCTGCCTGGGGCTGGAGCTGGAAGTAAGGTGGCAATACGGTATGTTGTGTATGTGGGTATTTGAGGAGTTGGGGGAGGCAGGTGGTCAAAAATGTCGAGATGTTTGTATTTAATAATTAGCCAACGGGCAGCCAAGGAAGATTTTTTTAAACAGAGCAAAGATGGAATGAGAGTTGTATTTTAACATAGATTGTTGAGGCATTTAAAAGCAGATTTTAGTGTGTTTTGAAATAAAAATATGTCTATGTAAATAAGAATGTTTGATAATGTCTTAGCAGGTTTTATTTCTAAATAGAATAACTTCCCCTGAAAACTTTAAGGGTATGAAAACTATGTATGAGAATTAATTCTTCATTTGTACTTGAGTCTGAAGAAAATTTTCTCACTTTTACAATGATGCAGCTCTTCCATGCATAGATTTCTCATCTCAGTGAAATGGGGTATATTTTATAGCACTCTGAAGAATATAATTTTCCCCTTCCAACATCCAAATAGCTGAACTTTTAATGTCTGCATAATATTTTGGAATGCACATTTTTTTCTGCTTCTAACTCTCTGACCAAAACATGACCCTATAAAATTGGGAAATAAAAAAATAATTTCATAAACTAAAGCAAAAGACCTTTTAAAAAATCAAAAACAGGATTGCAACAAATAGACATGGATCTAATCAGAAGACAGTTTTTTTTAGTAGTATTTTTCTCATAATTACCATTATAATGGTTAGAGATGGCCCCCAAATAAATCTGAAAACGTGAGTAGTTCAATGTACCCTCTCCCAAATCTTTATCACATAGATTATATCATATATAAGCATTTCACATAGATTATATTTCATCTGTTTTTCTGTCTACCATTATGGTAGACAACATGATAGCTTAAAGGACAGAGAATTTAAAACTATAGAACATGTTCCCAAATATATAATGACAAACTACATTTTGAAGTAAGCAAAGTATTGCCTAAAAGTGTTTACTTAATAATTGCCTATATATATTTTCAGAGTGTTTGAAGATACTGAAATTCAATAAGCTGTTTTTGAAGACTCTGTCAAAACCAGAAACAAGAACCACATCAAAACATCACTATGCATGTTTTTGGAATAAGATTTTCACTTATTTTATGGCTAGTGGACCGAGAGTGCTAAGTAATATCCTGCTGACCTCAAGGAGTCAATGAGATTCCTTGGTGCCTAATGTACTATTATTCACTATGTATTGAATAGAAAATAAATTATTTACTACATATTGTATAGGAAATAAATACTCAAACAGATTGTTATTTCATCTAAATGACCTAAGTAGAAAAACTAGTTCAAACCAAATAGGAGAACATTCTTCAAATTGCAAAAGCTTTATCTTATGATTCTACTTGAGCTATCTCAACATACTTGAAACACTTTATTTAAAAAAGTTTGATTTCCAAACAAATAATTATGTAAACCCAAAGTTTACCTTTGGCAATATTATTTGTTTTGTTTTATTTTTTGTTTTTAAATATCCTATTCTGAAGTTCTTAATGGGACTAGAGTTGTTATGGTTTTGCTCCCAAAGGTGCGTGTGTTGGAAGCTTGGTCCTCACTGTGGAGATATTAGAAAGCAGTCTGTCTTTTACCAGGTTGGGCCAAGTGGGAGGTTGCAAGACTAGCTCCTCCCATGCCCTAGCTTTCTAACATCGTGTGGTGCCTCCCTCTTGCATAAGCTCCTGCAGTTGTGAGGCCATTCACCATGAGGTCCTCACCAGAGTTGAACCAGTACCAGTGGCATGCCATGAACATCTAAAACTGTGAACTAATTAAATGTCTTTCTTTATAAAGCACTAAGCTTCAGGTATTTTATAAACAGGAAATAGACTAACATAAGAGCCCCTCCAAGTTGACACATAAAACCGACCCTGGCATTCCCTCCAGTTGGCATTAATTGACGATTTTGATTTGAATTCTTCATAAGAAAATATATAGGGGAAAACAGAATTAAAAGAAATCACTTTTCCATATTTTCTAAATTAATATTCAAACCCAATTTAATAAAAAAGAATAGGAAAATTAGCTATCTGACAAGTATGTGTACAATACAAATTAACATCTATCAACACTTCTCTTGTCAGTAAGGTACAACTGTGATCATTTAAGAAAATCACCTTATGAGCATAAAATAAACTGAAAATAGCTTTGTGAAAATTAAGAGTGGGAAGAGGAGAGGGAGGAGGAAGAAGGGCTGGATCATGGGTGGGAACTACCACTATGTTCCTAAATCTGTATATTTGAAATAAATAAAACTTGTATACCTTAAATAAAGTTTAAAAAATAAAGGGTTGGGCAACCTTGAAAAAAATCACAAGCTTATTTCACATTATTCACAAATGATCAATATATATTATTGACTATGATAACTGAAAAAAGTGTAATATGATTTATCAAGTTACCACCATTATTTATGCTTTCCTTAAAAAAAATCAAAGGTACAATATACTTGTGGCATGGGAGCATACTCAATCTTCATGTAGCAAATGAATCAAAAAAATTAAAATAACTTTCAAAACAAAATCACCAGCAGTTGAATAACCTTTTTCGATGAAAATGGCTTAACATCAAGAGGGAAATGAAAATGAAAGTGACTTCAAAAGCCAAAGCCTTACCAGTAACCAGATCAAGCTCAATGTCACTTCTGCTCTCCTTCCAAGACAGCAAGGAGTCCAGGCTGGTGAGATCTGCAGATTCTATGTAGCTGCTTATTGTCAGCATCATCTGATCCACTTTTGCTATTCCATAATGAACTTTGGTCTCGTCCATCAGAGACATGTTCATTAGCTTTACAGTTGTGTCAAAAGCTTGGTGGAAGGATTTAGAAGCCTTGCTGTAGTCTCCCTAAGAAAGTGATAAAAACAATTTTCATCTTAATTTTTGTTTCACCATTTCATGTATTTGCCCATCTTACTTTGGCAAGTCCCAGGCTGATCTTTCTACAATTATAGCAGATCATTTTCAAGAAGTAAGAAATGGTGGCACCGCAGTTCAATAGGCCAATCCTCCACCTGCGGCGCCAGCACCCCCAGTTCTAGTCCCGGTCAGGGCGCCAGATTCTGTCTCGGTTGCTCCTCTTCCAGTCCAGCTCTCTGCTGTGGCCAGGGAATGCAGTGGAGGATGGCCCAAGTGCTTGGGCCCTGCACCCCATGGGAGATCAGGAGAAGCACCTGGCTCCTGGCTTCGGATCAGCGCAGTGCACAGGCCGCAGCGCGCCGGCCACAGCGGCCATTGGAGGGTGAACCAACAGTAAAGGAAGACCTTTCTCTCTGTCTCTCTCTCTCACTGTCCACTCTGCCTGTCAAAAAAATAAATAAATAAAAAAATAAAAATATATAAAAAAAGTAAGAAATGGCAAACAGGCTCTCTATTTGAATAAGGTTCTTTCAAAGAGTAATGAGTATGTACCAGCCAATACCTTAATTTAGTAATATAAGTTCTATCTATTAGATCGGACAGTATGAAATTTAACTTGTTTTGAATGAAAAGTGATCCAATTTGGCAGTTTTATAAGGTTCATCCTAATATCATAGTAACAAAAATATGTTTAGGAAATAATGAACCAATTCATACTGATTTCACTGTTTCATTGAGATTGTAGCTTTGAGAGTTTCTACCTTACGTTTGCTTAAATCATTGTTTCCTGTTTTCTTACAGGCTGTTGTATTGCAATTTGCTGTTTTCTGTCTATTGTACAAATTTTTTTTTCTCATCATCAATTCTACAGTCCTTGCTCAAAATTTTTACATTCTATCTTTTGTTACTACTGTTATGCTAACATTTTTATAGGCCTATGTGACAATATCTAAAACAGCTGGTCAGTTTCTGTGCTCATTTCGACTGACACAAACACAGCAGAAGAGTATTACTTTAAATATTTACCTCCTATCCTTCATGTATTAATTTTTAACATTTTAATTGTAGCATTTGTCTTAAACATTTAATTGAGATATAACATACTTAGAGAAAAAAAACTTAACAGTTTCCAGATTCATGAAATTTTGGAGTTTTACAATGTTAACACATCAGTGTAATCATTTCTTAGATTAAAAGTATAATGTTTCTGAAATAGATTATTTATAGTACACCAGAATCCACTTGATTGCCTGTCCCAAAGGGAAACCCCATTGTAGCCATTGATTAATTTGACTTAGTTTTGGTTTTGAAATTTGTGTAAATAGAACAAATCAAATAGTAAACACACCATTGTTTTTGCAATGATTCAAATGTGGTATTACAATTGTGAGGCTTTTGCATATTGTTGTTTATGGCCACAGATTTTTAATTTTAATTGCTATAAAGAATTCCAGTGTTTGGATTTGTAAACACTTATTTATTCATTTCCATACTGTGGGTTTTATTTGGATTGCCTCCAGTTTTTCACTGATATTGATAATAATGCTATGAAAATGTTTATATGTCTTTGTTTGCATCTGTGTGTACATTGCTGTTAGAGGAGAAAAAAAAAAGTCTCAAGTAGCATCTTAACTGTTGTGCCAAATGTCCACACCAAACTAACTTTTAGAAATCAGTATTGTTTTGTAATGAGATTTCACTAATTAATGTATATTATATTTCCAGATTCCAAATTTAAAGAAATTAATATCAAATTTAATCTTCCTTCCAAAGATTCTATAAGAACCTTCCATAGTTTATTTTTTGCTATCAGATTACTCCTATTCTATTACACATTTCAGAAGATTCTAGTAATTCACTTGGCAATCTTAAAGACTAGACTGAGGGCCAGTGCTGTGGCATAGTGGGTTAAAGCCCTGGCCTGCAGCGCCAGCATTCCACATGGGAGCCTGTTCGAGTTCCAGCTGCTCCACTTCCAATCCAGCTCCCTGTTAATTCACCTGAGAAAGCAGTGGAGGATAGCCCAAGTGATTGGGCCTCTGCATCCATGTGGGAGACCTGGAAGAAGCTCCTGGCTCCTTGCTTTGGCCTGGCCCAGCCCTGGTCTTTGCAGCCTTTTGGGCAGTGAACCAGTGGGAGGAAGACCTCGCTATCTGTCTCTACTACTCTGTAACTCTGCCTTTCAAATAAATAAAATAAATTTTAAAAAAAGATTAGACTGAGAATACACAGTGCATTTATGCATTTTATAAGCTCATCATATTAGAAGAGGGTAATTTCACTGAGTATTAGTGGACAATTTCAGGGCAAGATCTCAATGATATCATGGACCTTGAAACAAAGCTTGAATAACACTATAATGTAGAATTCTTATGCATTTATTCTGATTATTACCAGATCCTTTTTAGAGGCTAAAACATCATCCTTTCCAATGAACAAGCTCAAAATAAAAGAGTATTTTCTTAGTCCTAAGGATAAATCATTCCCTACCCATTTCTTACCTAGTAAAATTAGTGTTCAAATTACCATGATTTTATCTGTGTGACTGTTCTCTGATCTCATTAAGGAATAAGAAATCTCAGGGCAGGCATTTGGTTTAGTGATTAAGGTGCCCGCATCCCATATTGGATGCTTGGTTTGAATAATCGCTACTCTATGTCCTATCCAGCTTTCTAATTCAGACTCTGGGAGACAGCAGGTGATGGCTCAAGTACTTAGGTCCCTGCCACTCATGTGGGAGACCTGGATGAAATTCTGGGCTCCTAGCTTTGTTCTGGTCCAGTCCTGGCTGTTGAAGACATCTGGGGAGTGAGCCAGGAGATGGAAGACTCTCTCTCTCTCTCTCTCTCTCTCTCTCTCTGTTATTTTGACATTCAAATAAATAAAATTTAAAAAAATTATAAAAAGAAATCTTATAAAGGATCTATACCTAGACCTGTCCCTGGAACACTCTCATTTGACACCTTTATTTATATATTTTCAGTGAACAGTTCATCAAAGACCACATGTGAAAGGTGGGACAGGTGGCAGCTCTCCTTTTGTGATTATATAAAAAAAGGTAAGCCTACTAAGAGAAAGGGTCTTTTAATATATGCTAACTTAATTACAATAGCACTATAGTGATTACAGAAAAAGGTCACTCCAGTATTTTTCCAAATAAAGTTTTGCAGTATAACTTTGTTCATTGAGTAACATTATTTCTTGGAAACCGTAGCTAAGAATACAATTATAATACATTACGTTAGGAATTTAAAGCTAAGAAGATGAGTTGAGGGCAGTTTGAAGGAGACCTACTAAGCAGACGGACGGACAGCAGCAGTATTAGGTATGCTTTCAATGGCTTGGGAGAAATTTTCAGACTACTAAAATATTATACAAAAATGAAAGAGAACTTTTACATTTCAAAAATGAGAGATTATTCTCGTGTGGTATAAAATTGGTTACAAATATATCATGTGTTGGTTCAGTGAACTGACATTTTGTTCATCAACTCTGAGGTTCTCATTTGAGCACTAAGTAAAACAAGCAAGGTAGACATCCCCTGCTCTCATCAAGTTTATATTCAAGAAGTTACTAACAGAAAGTAAAAAATATTGAAGTCATGTCCTACAGTTAAGAACTGAGGAACCAAGCAAAACTAACAGGAAATCTTGCTGAAAACCATTGCCCTTGAGAGAGAGAGAGAGAAAAAAAAACTGGCTGAGAGCAGTCAAAGCCATGAGACAGCATATTAAACATGCAATGCTGACTGCCGGATAAACATGGGACATTCTGGGCCAAAATACGCCCCCTGAGCTTGCTAAGGCTGTCAATTTTGGAATATGCAGCGTGTTACGAGGTGTGTAGCTGACCTGTGGCTGGGCAGAAATGCAAGGAACTTCTTTTTCTTAGCTGATCAATCAGCTCCCAGGCCCCACCGCCACTCCTCACTCCCTTCCCAATAAATACCTTCTATAAAAACGGTGCAGGGAATGCTATTTGAGCATGGCTCCCAGCTCCTTGCTTGGCTGCTCTGTAATAAACTCTGCGAAAGACAGTGGCTTCACTGTCTGGCTCCCTTATGTGTGGGCAAATTCATCTTGCTTCAGTAACAAAAACCACAAACAGCAGAACCAAGAAATAAATATTACATGGACAATCGCAATGCAGTAAAGTTGACGACAGCCCTGGTGGCTATGTTTGATTGGATTGTCTAGGGGCGGCCTCTCTGAAGAGATCTGAATGACATCTCACGTGAAGGTGAGATGGGAGAGTGTTCCCTGTGGAGCAATCCAGGAGAGGCACATGTCCTAAGGCAGGAACCAACCTGGCACGTGTAAAGAATTCCACAAAAATCAGTTCAGCTGCGGTGGAGTGGATAGGGAGAACGGGGAGCACCAAGGTCAGAAATATGGGGGTGAGGGCATTACATCTGCATTCCAGGGCAAAGATTTCTACTTACGTTCTCAAGAAGAGTTAGTAACGGACGTGATTTAAGCAGAGAAATAATATGATTCAATTTAAGTTTGAAAAATATTATTTTGGCCTCCGTGTAGAGACTGGCTTATGTTCTGGAGAGGGCCAGTGCCTGCAGGGAATGGGTTTGCAGTACTACTTACTGCACTGGTCCAGGGAGAAAATGCAGGGTAACAAGCTGATGCTGGTAAGAGTAGCACAGAGAGAAGGAGGCGGATTGAGATCTGTTTTGTTGGTTTTAAGGTTGAGGTTTGCTTCTGGATTGGATATGAAGTACAGATGAGCGAACACTCCAAGGAGGTCCTGAGTTTTGGGGCTTGAGCAACCACATTGATGGATAATTATACTGTTGATTAAGATGAGGAAGACTAGAGGGAACTAGGTTAATGGAAGGAGGAATTATGTTAAATGTGTGATATCGTTTAGAAGCTCAGGTGGACATGTTAGGTAAGCAGCTGGCTTTGCAAGTCTGGAGTCCCAGAAGAGATCAAGATTGTGAAGATAAAAAATGTAACAAATATGGGAGTCATTGG